AAGATTGTACTTGTTGTTACCCTGTCTGGCGCTCGGCATTAAGGGGCTAAAACAAGGACTGGTCGGCTCGGAGTCAGTATACTGTGTCTGAGTGGGGTATTCATGTTAAACTGCGGCATGGTATCTCAGTGAGCTAGCACTATAAATCGGCATCAGTCCGGACTAGTACAAGCAGCCACACACACACATACACGTGCATGCACGTCGCTATATAAGTGCAATAATGTTGGACGCGACGTTAAACACAATTTCACCTCACCTCACCTCCTGTCTGAATCACGTTCCTCTAACCGTTAAACGTATGCCGGGCAAACATGGCTAATACTGACATTGTTGGAACTAAATTATTTCAGAAATCATACGATGGTATCGTCTTTCATCAGGACAACACGCCCCTCCCAAATAGTGCACAGGTTGAAGGCTGGATTGGGAGACGGGTATGTAGAATAAGTAGAAGGCAAGGTTTGTCGGTTTGTCGCCGCACGCGGGTTGTGACAAACCGAACAAGAACACGGGGCGTATCTGTTGAAATTATTGTCTGTTTTAGCGTGGGAGGGAAGCCCGATGTGGCGCAAGTCAAAGACGCCATTGTGGTGAAAACCCACGAGCATGCGTATGGTGATGACGCTGAGTGATGCCATGACGAGTTACTAATTGCTACAGACCATGCACTACTTTCCAAAGTTATATAAGACGTACATGCGACGGGTTTGTGTTGTGTGTTATGCTGCGTGATTAATTTGCACGACTCTATTTTTGAGAGCGAAGTGTCTTTTGAGTTGTTCCCCATATATGTAGCTGGGCAACGCGGATAAACGCAATGGCCAAACGATCACCTCCAAAAGGTGAGGTGAAATTGGGTTTAACGTCGCGTCAAAGATTATTGCACTTATATAGCGACGTGTGTGTGTGTGTGTGTGTGTGTGTGTGTGTGTGGCTGCTTGGCTTGTACTAGTCTGGACTGGTGCCGATTTATAGAGCTAGCCCACTGATTAAACCATGCCGCAGTTTAACATGAATATCCAACTCAGACACAGTATACTGACTACGAGCTGACCAGTCCTTGTTTCAGCCCTTAATGCCCCAGACGGGGTAGAAACAAGTATCATCTTTTGACGTTTTTGGGTATGACTAGGACCTTCTGCTCGCCAGGCGGACGCTCTACCACTAGACCACGGCGTCTCCGAAAGTGTGAGAAATATGACAATCGGTATTAGGAGAAAAGTTACTGATTATCGACGTGAAATTTGTGAGAGTATTCGAGAAATACTAAATTTAACGACCCATAAAGATCCGGGGTAAAATAGATCTTCAGCAACCCATGCTTGTCGTGAAAAAGCGACTTTGCTTGTCGTAAGAGGCGACTAACGGGATCGGGTGGTCAGGCTCGCTGACTTGGTTGTCATCGTATTCCAATTTCGTCGATCGATGCTCATGATGTCAATCACTGGATTGTCTTGTCCAGACTCGATTATTTACAGACCGCCGTCATATAGCTGAAATATTGCTGAGTGCCGCGTTAAACAACAAACAAACCAACAAACCAAAATTAACGCCATGTTCATATAATGGACTTGTTCGACATTCCGAGGTTGTGTTGTATACAGGGAGACATCATTATTTAAATACGAGTAAATATTTTTTAAAGTTTTCATTTTATTGACATCCTTAATAAGGCTGGTGATAATGTTGATAGTGGGAGTTGTTTACCGTACAATAAAACACTTCATGGAGAATAAAACCACTCGGGGCTTGGCCCCTCTTGGTTTTTTCTCCCTGCAATGTTTTATTGTATGATAGCCCGAGTGGTTCATTCTCCCTGCAGTGTTTTATTGTATGATAGCCCGAGTGGTTCATTCTCCCTGCAGTGTTTTATTGTATGATAGCCCGAGTGGTTCATTCTCCCTGCAGTGTTTTATTGTAGGATAGCCCGAGTGGTTTTTTCTCCCTGCAGTGTTTTATTGTATGTTAACCCGAGTGGTTCATTCTCCCTGCAGTGTTTTATTGTATGATAGCCCGAGTGGTTCATTCTCCCTGCAGTGTTTTATTGTATGATAGCCCGAGTGGTTTATTCTCCCTGCAGTGTTTTATTGTATGATAGCCCGAGTGGTTTATTCTCCCTGCATTATTTCATTGTCTGATAAATAACTCCCACTCGTCGTGTATTTCTATAATTACCACATATTTTATGACAATAACACGTTTTGAATGATGACAGTTCGTGAGTGACTCATCTAATGTTACATTCAACACGAAAAATGAACAGAAAAAGACAAACCCTCAAAAGTGAGGGCTACGTGATTACGTCAGTCCAGTCATGCAGAACTTCTGAGTCAGTATGACCGTATACTAAAACATTATTTTAACGCTATATTAACTGTTAACATGTAGATAAACCGCCGGTTTGCCAATTACCAATCAGGCAGTTCTAGCTGTGATGAGTGAGTAAGTTTTCTACGCCGCTTTTAGCAATATTCCAACAATATCACGGCGGGAGACATCAGAAATAGGCTTCACACATTGTACCCATGTGGGTAATCGAACCCGGGTCTCGGCGTGACGAGATAACGCTTTAACCACTAGTCTACCTCACTGCCCCTCAGAGATAATCCCTCCTGAATCCCAACATGTTCACCCATGAATCTACCCACGCTCGGCGGTAAGAAACAGTAAAGAAACGATCGCGTATCCGGCAGGTGGTCATACCCTATCAACGTGCTAGGTTAAGCCACGCCTCCTCGTTGAGTTATTATTTATAAAGACCTTAAAGTAAGTTCTTTAAATTCTGCGCTTCAGCGCTAAGTTTACGTTCCACACTGTTTTTGTCGGCCATCGTATGGTACTGGCTACTTAATGATGTGAGAAAAATCTGTCACTACTTGCACGGTGACATTTAATTATTCACGTGACAGACCACATTTAAACACAGCGGGCACATTACTTCCAATGTTCTGAGGTTGTTTGTGTAGGATAAAAGACGTCAGAGTATTTTTTTGAAATTTAAAACCCGAATCCAATGGATGAAACCGAGGGGCGACACCCGAAAAAAAAGAAACTTAAAACAACATTTATGAACATTTTTATGTTCTAAACACTTTCCACGAACCATAGGAAACGGGCGTAAAATATCTGTTGCTGGCGTACAGTTTCTTGAAAAAGACTTTCTTCTAAGCATTGTGATTTATCAGCGTCTCTGTAGCCTAGTGGTGCACTCACTGGGCTACGCATGCGAAGGTTGCAAGCTTAAGTAGTTAGTGAAATGCAAGCGAGCAGCACGTGCTATCCGAGCGGGTCCAAGTGTAAAAGGGGTGTCAGTCCATGCCACGTTGTGCTTGACAGTGACCTCCATCGGGTGCAATATGGTCCTCCTTGAATTCCATGGCACCCGTCATGAGGGTCGCTATCGTATACATACTAACATATTGTGGGTGCATCAATCAATATTTCGTTCATTTTACAGTTATTTGGGTTTTGTTTTTAAAAACAACCAGCTTCAAGATTATGAAGAAATATTTTTTTTATACATTTCAAAACAAGTATCTTATAATTTCAAAGTAAGTGAAGATATAATCTATGTTTCCTTGTTGTTTTATAATATCCCAATTCTCACATTAACCAGTAAATAATCAAGTCTGGGCCAGTCAAGCAAGTGGTTGATCAACATCTCAGCCTGGGGTGAGTGAGTTAAAATTTAACGTCTCATCGGCATTATAGTGACTCTCAAGCTGAAAAAGGGTCACCTAAATCGTCACACGATATACTTTGGATGTGTCCCTATCTGGAATCAACAAGGGGCCATATGTTCATTTGTTGGTCAACGGGACACTCAGCAATACTCCAGCTATACGAGGGCAGTCTGTATTTAATGGAATCTGGACAGACAATCCATATGACACCATGAGCAAGGGCCGAATGTAATTTTCAGTATTTTGTGGAGCTAGGGACCTCTGCAACATTTTGTTTGTTGTTTAACACCGCAGTCAGCAATATTCAAGCTTTATGACGGCATTCTGTAAATAATCGAGTCTGAACCAGACAATCCAGTGATTGACATCATGAGAATAGATCCACGGAATTTGAGATACGATGACATGCATCAACCAAGTCAGCAAGCCTGACCACCCGATCCCGTTAGTCGCCTTTCAAGGCAAGCATGGGTTGCTGAAGACCTATTCTACCCGGGATCTTCACACAGGTCCCCTATGCAACTTGCTGTGTTGAGGTGATATTGTTGACCTGAGTAGAGTTGAGTTGTATTGCATATAACAGGCACAAATAAAGATAATCGAGTAGATGAAAACTGGTGGCACACATTTACACTGAGCATCTCACATTGGTCAGGAAACGCCTGAAGATCCGGGTTAGAATTGGTTTTGTTTCGATCCATCTCCCAAATTGATAGTCATGAGATTCAAAGCATCATACATACAGTTATCTTCAGTAATCATGGAGAGTCTGTGGTACATCAGTGGGACCCGTGAAGATCCGGGGTAGAATAGGTCTTCAGCAACCCATGCATGCCGTAAAGGGTGACTATGCTTGTCCTAAAAGCCGACTAACGGGATCGGGTGGTCAGGCTCGCTGACTTGGTTGATGCATGTCATCGATCCCAATTGTGTAGATCAATGCTCATGATATTAATCACTGGATTATCTGGTCCAGAATCAATTATTTACAGACCGCCGTCATATAGCTGGAATATTGCTGAGTGCGGCGTTAAACAAACCAACCAACCAACCAACAACAGTGGGGTAGCCTTGTGGGTAAAGTGTTCTCTCATCACGCCAAGATCCGGGTTCGATTACCCACGTGGGTACTATGTGTGAAACCCACGTCTGGTAAAATATGTAAACCCACGTCTGGTGACCACCCAGATATCGCTGGAATATTGCTAAAAGGTGCATAACAATACTCACTGACACACATACAACAATGCTACAGCATAATAGCTCAAACTGCACTTTGAACACTGATTTCTAATATAAAAAAACAAATCAATATTTCACCAGACTAAAATACTTTATTTACACATGAAAAAGAATGATAGTGTCTATTACCAGTCTGCAGTAGACATACATCTCCACTACATACATACATGACACAATTTCTATGTAGAATGCCATGATTGCCTACACCAAGAACACCTGACCATCCTACACCAACCAGTCTTTAATATCATGCACCTTCATATTTGAGAAAAAAAGAAGAAAAAATTTAAATATTATTTTCTGTAGTTGGCTGTTTTGATTATTTTCCTTAATCTATCAATACCCACACTGCTGAGGGAGGGCAGGAGGCTCCCTATATCTTGTCATGTGTCAAGGGAGTACATCAAGCACTTCCTTCAGAGTTTTTCACTTATCACTAATTAGTAGAAGTCAGTTTCCTGGTACAACTTAGCGTTGTCATCCTCATGATGTTCAAAGTTATGAGTCAAGTTCCTTGTGACAATCCAGCATTTATAAAAAGGGAGGAGTCCAAAATATCAAAATCCTCTGTCAATTTTAGTGTCTACCACAAACTACATTTGGTTTTTAAAAAGGGGGTGTCTGGGCCCCCTAGACACACCCTCTGGATCTGCCTATGAGTTCTAAACAATATACTTGTTATATCCCAGCAAGTTGGTTGTATTTTAGAGGACATGGTCGAGGCCTGTTCCTAATTTTGTCAGTCACAACACTGTTGATACACAAAATATCAATTGAATAATTTGTCTTGAATATTGATAGATCAATAAAATCATTAATTGATAGATCAATAAGAAGTTCATGGACGTCAAACACAGAAACTAAACCTGAACTTTCAGGACAGCTGAAGGGAGACAACTCAAGACAAAATGTTGATGTCAATCCTACTGTGGGGACACCAGGAATGCAGGTCACCATGTGGGGGTGAATACTGCTGCATCAGCACTTTTGCAGCTATTGAAGCACGTATAAATAACTGTATCCATTTGAGCCTTCAAGTCTGAGTTTTCAATCAAGTGAACACAGTTACCTCCCTGTCATACACAACACACTGTCAACTTTCATCCAGTACCATACAGACAAGGCAGAGGTTGAACTAACTAATTTCTTTCACATTATGAACCATATAGGGAAAACAAGACTACTTTAGAATAATCCTATGGCAACTTACATATTTTGCATTTTTGTAATTATCTTGCTGAACTTTGTAACTAATCTTACTTGTCCTATCATGTGACTAAATAAAAATAAATTGTTTTGAAACTTTGCTCCAATGGTGTGTTAAGAGTAACCATGGTAACCTTGAGCATGTATACTAATCTAGAATACAATTAACCCCATAAAGATCCACCTCTGACAATTAGCAGAGTCGGGATTCCATGCTGTTCCACAGCACCAATAGTAAGCAATGGAGAAAAGCAACTTGTCATATTTATTGCAAGTCTTCGATCTGTTGTGGAATCGAAGTTGCATACTTTCTCTAGAACGCAAATCTGTGACAAACATACTGAATAATAAAGATTTTAGATATTCCATAATGATCACCACCCCAACCCAAAACATTTATCAACTCAAAGGACATCAAAAGGAGAAACGAGAATAATCACAGGAGTAAATATTGGAGCATCCACTGACAACATCCGTACCTACATAACATCATATCGTGGATTACAGTGTTCATCACATTCGGGAACGCAGACATACAACGTGGGATTGGAAATTCTGGCACTACGTAGACCTTTCAGACATGGAATAGACATGGTAGATCATAGTTCAGCACATACCCAGGTCATGCTTTCGAAGATGCAACAAAGACAAGAGATCCGACAGCAAGATGCAGCATGCTAACCCTAACTAGAGGCAATTGGAACATCTTGAATAGTTGTGTTTCACCTTAGTAATTAGAATAAAACAACCGTTATTACTTATTAAAAGTAAACATTTTTTGCGCTAAACTTTATCACCCAAACTCCTCTAAATCTGTATACCTTTGCATCTCGTGATAAAACAAGTGATAACTAATTAATTACAAATTTCTATCTGCAAGAATGTCTGTACCAAGGTCAAAAACAGTCTGAATTATTTTCAGGAAAACTTGTTAAATGCGTCACTTCATCGTATTGGCAGAATCTTGTTCGAAATATTTGATTCTATCCAATTCGTAATGGTGACATGCTGGATGCTGGTTGCACCCGAGCAGTGTGATGCGGAGTGTACTACAGATGCTCTCAGTCACACAGATGCCACCACTGCAGCACCATCATTCAGGCAATGAAGTCCAGTGGCCGGTTGAATCCTCCTCTTCTGTTCATGTACTGTCTGAAATATACATCACAACATATAATCACTTCCACTTTAACTATTATTGTCAACTGGGTATTTTATGGCTGAACAATTAACAACAGTGTTACATTGTTTCTGCTGAGATTCTGTAGACGCTCATTGCAATGTACCTGGACAATGATTAGTTGTAGGAGAGTACAACGTCTCCATCTCACCTGGAGTTATTTCAAACACAAGTGTACAGTAAAGCACTGACCTGTATCTCCGCTTCCTCTGGAGGTTAGTCACATAAATATCATTGCCTTCAACCTTCTTGTTCTAAAACAGAAAAAGGCTGTCATGATAACAACGCCACACTCAGAAACTTCCAGCTGTATGACAACGGCCTGTAACTAATCTGGATCAGATTAAGCAGTGATTCATATGATGAGCAAACAGGTAGCTGGGTACCAAATCTCACCAGGAATCCATCCCTACGTGGTACATTTCTAAAATCCCATAGGGCAACATTTTGAAATCCCCACAGGGGTGCACAGCGGAATACCCACTGGGATACATTTTGGCCAAGATAAGTGACCAACATAAAACCTGATTCCTGATTTTAAGAGTATATAAATAACTGCTTATCTCCTCTCATTTAGTGGAAACTTCCTGAACTGTGTTCCCAGAGAAGAGAAAAACAGTACATCGTATATGTTTGTCAAGCAAAGCAGCAGTCAAAATACAAAGACTATTGATTAACACTGTGACATGACAGCAAAATAAATATAGGAGTGAGGTGAGGTGAAATTGGGTTTAACGTCGCCGCCAAGATTATTGCACTTATACAGCGACGTGCATGCATGTGTGTGTGTGTGTGTGTGTGTGTGGCTGCTTGTACTAGACCGGACTGATGCCGATTTAAAGTGCTAGCTCACTGAGATACCATGCCGCAGTTTAACATAAATACCCCACTCAGACACAGTATACTGACTCCGAGCCGACCTGTCCTTGTTTTAGCCCTTTAATGCCGAGCGCTAGACAGGGCAACAACAAGTACCATCTTTTAACGTCTTTTGGTATGATGCGGCCGGGGATCGAACTCCGGACCTTCCTCTCTCTGGGCGGACGCTCTACCACTAGACCCCGGAGGCGGTCAGTATAACTATAGGAAACTGTGACACGACTACAGTGAGAATACTGGCATGACATTCATATCATGATCCAAAGGAGAACTGTTGATTTCCGTTACTGATTACTCACTTTTGTTGTTTCAAAGCCAGAGAATCCCATTACTTTCATCATGTCCGACTCCTCTTTGGACATTGTTTGTTCTGAAAGTCAAGGTCGTCATTTTTATTAATGTGTATGATAAAGCGTAGTCATCACTGCATCAACCTGACATCAAATATTCAGGAAAGAATTACTAACTCTGTGAACTGTTGATTCTTGAGCTAGTTCACAATAATTTCACAACTCCACACAGGCCATTTCTATCTGAACATGAGTCATCAGTCTGGTGAAATGAAGAAATGGAGTTTGGCAACTCATACCCCACTTTTGGTTCATTGCCATTGGATACCTTCAGTTCAGTGAAGAAAAAAAATAATGCTGTTTAGTTCTTTTCAAAATCCCAAATGTTCACCATGAGACTGATCTGTATAGAAAGTTCCATCCAGGAATATTCATCCAGTTGGAGTTCTGCTCCGAAAACAGTCCAACTTTATGAAAACATAACAATTTAAAAAAAAAAAAAAAATCACCAAAAGGCACCAGTTCCCCATTAGACTTATCTGTATATCATGTTTTAACAAGAAATATTTAACAGTTTCAGACTTCTGCTCCGTAAACAGAAAACAACTTGTTTTCATCATGACAAATCATGACACAAACCAAAACAAAAGAATAAAAATAAAAAATCACCAAAAGGCACCAGTTTCCCACTAGACTGATCCATATTGAAAGTTTCAACAAGAAATATTTTTAATAATGGTTTTGAAGTTCTGCTCCGGAAACAGAAAACAGACAACTGGACGGACAGAGAAAGTAACCCCTATATCTCTCTGTTTTTCAAACCGGGGAGGATAAAAAAAATTCAACATGTTGTTTATATATTCATTTTGCCCACACTTGAGTTTAGTTTGAACATGTTGACAAGGCTGCACAAGTTATCTCCCTTTAAACATGTAATTGTTGTTCTATCCAAGACACATCTTCCCGAGGCAAGATTGTCCACTAAAGTACTGTCGGAAATGCTAGAAAACTGCTTTTCTGGCTTCATTTAATAAATACGAGTCAAAGGACTATAAAAAGAGCATATATCAAAATAACACGAATTGCCCTAATCTAGCCTGTCCTAACTGACACTGTGATTACTCTTAAAATGTACTTTTACAGGTAAAATGATGATAAACTTAGAAAATATTCGTGTGTTGTCATGCATGTATGAAATGGCCTATAACCTGAGGTAATTACCTAACACCTGTCCCGAGATGATGACCTCACACCGGCCCGTGCATTTTCCCAGGTGCAATGTCACCGAGTTGGGGGTGGTCTAAAAATATTGCTGTTATTGTACTTAATTGACATACGTTGATGAGGTAGCAATTTAGGACATGTACTGCATTATATTTGCTTGGAAACATGATGGACTAGTTAAGAGCTATGAAACGGGATGAGTATTGGAAGGTTGCGGTTTTGGAATCCAGAGGTTTGGTGTTTTACAGATGATTTCTTGAGGTAGCATTTATCTCCCCTGATGACGTATCTGAATCTGTACTTGTGTTGTTATGTCTTGCCATGAACCCTGTACATTTAGCCAAGATAGACACAACAGGGTTGAGCTCACAATGTCTGACTGCCGTACGTTAGACAACGTAACCGTGTTGTGCCGCCAGCACATATGTCTGGTTTCTTATTCAGCCGAATTTTCTCCATGAGTTGAACTTTCGTTTCATATGGTCTGAAGTCGACCAATGTCATATATTCCTGTATGGTCGCCTTCAGACTACTCATGGTTTGGGCGACAGTATCTGATTCCCAGACGTTATATTTATTGGCGTTATCCATGACAATCACACTGACGTTGTTTCAAATGGGCAATAGCTGAAGTTCCAACCAGTCTATGAACACATCACCTCCTATAATTTTCTTATGAAAATCACCAGTTTTCTTTTTCGCCTTGAAAACGTCCATCAATAAGCCCCATATCATGGGTTGCAGCGTGCAAAACAATGACACGATTACCTTTACCTGATGGTACCATGGGTGCTTTTTGTCCATCTGCCAATAGCCACATGTAGTCAGTGAAATGATTCACCAAGGTAAATTATCTGGACGCCCTGATTGTGATAGTTATGCATGGTTCGGAGATAATGTGACCTCATAGACAGGATAGAATATTTTCCCCTGAAAAATGCTCAGTCATTGCCCCGCGCAGTGTATCGAAATCCCATCTCCTTGAGAGCAATAGTGCAGTACATTAATTGTATCTTTAATTCCTCCCAAATTCTACTACAAGTCAGGGTTATTTTCTGCTCATAGAGCTTGTACACTATACGCCTAATCACCCTGTATCAAAGCTGTCTAATATCCTTTTACGCCCCAGTTTTGTTTTTGAGACCACCCCTATACCTGTTTTGTTTTCTTATCATACCGTAGACTGGATGGTATGAATTGAAAACACCATAGCTTGGGCAGTTCGGTAATTCACCCTATCTAAATTAATAAATGGTTTCCCTCTATCTCTCTAAAGTGTAAAGAACTAGTATGCATTTCCAAGTACGGACTCCATATCGTGTACCTTGGTTATGGCTATACAAGTATAATGTAACATGCATCATGGGAGCAATGTTAACAAAAAAAACGCAACGTCATTTTGTCATTTTAGAAGATGCACATCTAGAATTTTCTCAAAATGATTTTTGTGTGTGGAGTAGATGTTTTATGAAGACTACATTATCATCATTGTAACGGAGTCACGTGCGCATATTTCTATAGTCCGTTCCAGACTGCCATCATTGGACTTAGAATAAATGTGAACTTCCTGTTTTCGTTCGAATTTGTCTCCAGTAAACTTGTCGATAGGACTCCTTGTGACTGAAATACTTCAAACCACAGGTAGGGCGATCGGTAGTTATTCTATATTTCAATAACACCAGTCTGTGAAAAATTCTATCCCTTTTTAACAGGCAAAAAGCAGTTTTCTAGCATTTCCGACAATACTTTAGTCAACATCGAAGCCTTGTTTCCATCCGTCATTTCAAGCCTACTTTTCATGGTTTGATCATGGAGCCACACAATGCAGAACATGAGTTGTGTCCCTTGTGATCAAAACATGATATCCATTCCAATAGCTGTTCATATTTCAAATGGTTTCACAAAGATGACTACCACAGCAGACGACCTGGTCGATCAGTTAACGAAAACATTCAAGATTCCATCCCCAATACTAGTGACAGAAAATCAATCACAGTCAAGGTATTTATTACTGCCGAAGTTCGCTCTTACAATAACAGAGGCGTACATACTACAAAGTATCTAGTAACACTGCACATCACAGTAACATGATATGCTCAGCAGGGTTAACTAAAAATAAAACTGCTTCTGATTGTTTCGACTTGACAAAGAATGAAGTTTGCACTGAAATATATAAAAGTACTTGGGCAAGTTGGTAGAAAATTTTGAACCACTTAGAAAACATTTGTCTTCGAATAATTTTTAGATTAAATCCAGTTTCGGAACACGTTTTTAGAAAATGTTTTCAGAACACGTGCGTTGATTTTGTAAAACGTTCTGTGATTGGACTATCGTATCCTCTGTGTCCACTCTAGTCCTCCCATATCTTTGCATTGAAAATCAGGCTTAAAATGTCCAGTGTGAATGCTAGACTTTGCCTCAGAAGATATCATAGACAATGTGCTGTCAAAAACAGACGTTAACTTATCTGAGTGTCAGCCTTAATATATGTCAGCAACAAACATGTCTTGACCAGACAAACCAGTGATTAATATAATGAGGAATCTCCTACAGCGTTGGGGTACGATGACACAAACTCAACCTCACGACAAGCGTAAGTTGGGGCCAATTCTAGTCTGGTATCCAACAACAAACTACCAAGAAATCGCCAATGTATCGACTTCACTGTCTGGTGCAGTACTCACTGTCTAACTTGGGCTTATTAGCAACATGTGATGAGTTCAGCTGAACAGGCTTTTCTGAAGACTTGCTTGTTTCCCTAAAACACAAGAAATAATATGTATGTGTTTGCATCAATATTCGTCACATTATCATAGTATTCACTATGGAAATATTTAGGTGGAGCAAAATCAGTGACAAACAGGGCAGCTCCAGACAGAAGAGGCAAAATCTGAATATCTTTGATAATGTAGTATTAATGTGATTCTAGAAAATGCCAAAAAGAGAAAAACAAGATCACAATTACGGTTGCACCTGTGTACACACAACTTTAACATGACATGACTGTGTTCATTAACTCACCTGTCCCTGGACCAACACTGTTATGGTTGCACCTGTGTACACAACTTTAACATGACTGTGTTCATTAACTTACCTGTCCCTGGACCAACATTGTTACGGTTGCACCTGTGTACACACAACTTTAACACAACATGACTGTGTTCATTAACTTACCTGTCCCTGGACCAACACTGTTACGGTTGCACCTGTGTACACACAACTTTAACACAACATGACTGTGTTCATTAACTTACCTGTCCCTGGACCAACACTGTTACGGTTGCACCTGTGTAAACAAATTTAACATGACTGTGTTCATTAACTTACCTGTCCCTGGACCAACACTGTTACGGTTGCACCTGTGTAAACAACTTTAACATGACTGTGTTCATTAACTCACCTGTCCCTGGACCAACATTGTTACGGTTGCACCTGTGTACACACAACTTTAACACAACATGACTGTGTTCATTAACTTACCTGTCCCTGGACCAACACTGTTATGGTTGCACCTGTGTACACACAACTTTAACATGACATGACTGTGTTCACTAACTCACCTGTCCCTGGACGAACACTGTTACAGTTGCACCTGTGTACACACAACTTTAACATGACATGACTGTGTTCACTAACTCACCTGTCCCTGGACGAACACTGTTACAGTTGCACCTGTCTACACACAACTTTAACATGACATGACTGTGTTCATTAAAACACCTGTTCCTGGACCAACACTGTTACGGTTGCACCTGTCTACACACAACTTTAACATGACATGACTGTGTTCTTTAACTCACCTGTCCTCGGAGTTACTCCGCTCTCTGCCCGGTGATGCTGACCTGACAACACATTATTTATCATTAGATTCAGAGTGGCAAGTAGATAATATCTAGCTGTCATTTAGGCTTGGGGGATCTACTACTCAGAAGGAACTGGGAGTCTGTTCACTTGCAAGAAACTAGTTGCACTATATGAGTATTGACAAATATTTCTGCACTAATATACTGATGGAAACATAAGGGAGCAATGAAAAACATAGGGAAATAAGATTTACTGTCAGTACCTTTGAAGTACCATGCATACAAATTCAACACATGTCAGAATCAACATGATCAATGTTGAGATGTGTTTGTGTGCATTGTTTCCAACGTGTATTTGGTAGACAAGGCTGGGAACCCATGATAGCATATCATTTTACTGTGTCTCAAACTAAGTGTTGCCTTATTCAATTCCATCAGTATATTTTCTGACCCGTGAAGATCCGGGTAGAATAGGTCTTCAGCAACCCATGCTTGCTGTAAAAGGCGACTATGCTTGTCGTAAGAGGCGACTAACGGTATCGGGTGTCAGGCTCGCTGACTTGGTTGATGCATGTCATCGATTCCAATTGCGTGGATCGATGTTCATGATGTCAATCACTGGAGTGTCTGGTCCAGACTCGATTATTTACAGTGAGTGAGTGAATATTGCTTAACGCCGCATCAGCAATTTTGCAGCTATTTGCGGCGACGATTATTTACAGACCGCCGTCATATAGCTGGAATATTGCTGAGTGCGGCGTTAAACAACAAACCAAACAACCAACAGTATATTTTCTGGTACATGAAAGTCATTGCTTCACACCACACTACATACATGTATATCTAGTAAACATATCACACCCAAGATACAAAAACTACAATTTACCAGCTTCCAATGCAAAATGTAAAACTACTCGCTAAGTACAGTGTTGGAATTAATTATAAAACCCAACAAGACATTTGGGCAGGTGACCCATAAGTGTTGCCTGCTCATCTTCAAAATTACATGCCTGCATTCAGACATTATAAATATTGAAAAATCTAAAAAGACTAAGAGAAAAATCACGTCTTGATTCACTTGAAACAATGCAAACAATAACTTGAAAATCAGGAAGAGAATTTATGTACCGTATATCAACTTCTTTATTTTAAGGAAAGGAACGTTTTTGATGAAGGAGTAAATTATCCTCAGCGTGCTCAGAAACGTTGTGTTCCTCAAAATACATTATATTGGAAATTTTCATTCGACCCCTCAAGCTAACGCTTTCAGGTCTCGAGATAAATTTCCAAGATGCAAATACTCGATAAAATCCCGGAAATAGACACACCCATAGTATTTATCTTCTAACTATTTCACTCATCCATTCATCACTCTATCGGGTTTTTCCAAAAATTAGTGAACATTTTAAGATTAAATAAAAATGAAATAATGTTTTAGATGAATATAACGGTTATATAGTTATAGTTATAGTTATATATATATATATAGAGAGAGAGAGAGAGAGAGAGAGAGAGAGAGAGAGACTTGACTCAGAAAGTAAATTAACTCAGAATTGTGTTTCGGAAATTAGCTCCGTTGTACGCATGCTAAAAAGCTTCATTGGGTATTTACGCGTGCCTTTTTTCCTTTAATGCACGCGTTTTTGTAAGCAAGATGATATTGACAGTAATTGAGTTTTGAATATTTTTGGGGAGTATTTTAGGAAATACGCAGCTTATCTGTAGCTCTGGATTTACAGGTGGAGACAGTAACAAGATCGGGTGGTTAGGCTCGCTGACTTGGTTGATGATTGTCATTGTATCCTATATGCGTAGATCGGTGCTAATGATGTCAAAAACTGGATTGTCTGGTCCAAACTTGATTATTTACAGACCACGACCATATTGGTATATATAGCAGGAATATTGCAGAGCGTGGAGTTAAACAACAAACAAATAACATAACTGAAGCCAGCACTTACCTTGATCTCCTTCGTGGAGAGTGAGACCGGGAACGCCTGCCCCTCGGTGACCTGCTCCTCCTCCTGTGGTCTGTGGGATTCATACAAGACTTATTATTAGTCGTGTTATTCAATATTCTACCATGAATCTGGAATTTACTCGATTCTGATTGGTCAATCAGAGGCTTTTAAATCACAATAAACCCCCTCTGATTGAAACAGCTGGTTTGACGACCACATCACTGCGGAAGCTAATATTCATAGAATAGAACTATTTTCAGTCATTGTTGGTAGGCATATTTAAATAATTATATCTACAATTACAGGTTACAAAATGCACAGATACGGTTACTACAATATTCAAAGGATGTGTGGCAATACATTTCATGCAGAAAACACTATAGAAATCTACAAAGGGAATGCATTTACGTTTTGGAGACAGCAGAAAGCTTGGAATTTTGGCGCTTTTCTATATACGACTGAGATGTCATATCTTTTGCGTCACAATGAGCGATATGACGTCATAATGGTGACGTGCGATGTAGAGCGAAAGCCTTTAAAGCTTGCTTTGTTTTCTTTAGGGATGCCCACCACATGTTAGCTTACCAAGTTGCCGTGCTTATATTATTATATGCTTTCAATGCCTGTCATATGTTCGAGTAAAGTATTACGGTGTAAACAAGCTGCTTGAGTATATACAGCGCCATTTTTTGTTCGGTGATTCCGTAATTCACATCAACAACCCACTCTAAACACTGGACTCAACCCATGCCGCTTCACTCAGTACATTTGCTAAGACCAAGGAGTTCGCTTTTTAGTTAATCATGGTAGAATGGAGATAAATATACTGTGTTTTCAATGTAGAGTTAGGTTACCTGTAGATTTTACCGCGCTAAATTTTACATTTGAAAACTCACACTGTGCGTTCGGTTCCAAATTCAATTTAGCACGGTTAAATCTAGTACTAGTTCTACATTGAAAACACAGTATGTTTATCTCCTAATAAGTGATCAGAGCTTTGTTTCACAATCACTGCTACCAAAGTATTTACTCCCACAGTTTCACATACACTTAAGCTATGCCTGCTTTGTGAAACTGGGCCATAAGACTACATTAAACAAGGATAGACTTCATTATAAATCTTGAAACATTCACCCAAATTATAAAGTTTGACATAGATACTTGAGAAAATGCCCTATTCAAAACAAGGAAAAGAACACCCATAATTGGAATACCAACCAGCCTTGACAGATAAACTATAGTGTTTAGGTCAAGATAGCAGTAGCTATTTGTTTGTTTGTCTGTTGTTAAACGCCACACTCAGCAATATTCCAGCAATATGATGGCAGTCTGTAAAGAATTGAGTCTGGACAAGACAATCCTGTCATTGACATCACAACCTTCGATCCAATTGGGATATGATAACATGCATCAACCAAGTCTGTGAGCCTGTCCACCAGATCCCGTTATGACAAGCATAGTCACCTTTTACGGCAAGCATGGGTTGCTGTGGACCTATTCTACCCCAGATCTTCACGAGTCCAGCAGTAGCTAGTGTCAGTATTAGATGGGGCAAATGTTGTGGGCAGTTGAGGGAGAGGCCCAGTTATCAACATCATGTATGCTACATTATCTAAGGCCTCAAGTTGTTGTGCAGAGTTGCATCCCTATCATGCCTATTCCAATGAGTGAGTGAGTGAGTGAGTTGGGTTTAACGCCGCTTTTAACATTATTCCAGTCATATCGCGGCGTGTCAGCTTAGTGCGAGAGGAAAGCCCGAAGTGATGCAGGTTTCAGACGTTTACCACTTCGGTGAAACCCACGAGCACGGGTATGGTGCTGACAAACCTAGAAACATAATTGGGGCGAACCGGGATTCGAACCCACAATCATAGGTTTCTGGCGAGCCCAAGGGACGCAACTCTGCACAGCGAATCGCGGCGCCTTAGACGACTGGGCCACCCGTGCCCCCTGTCTATTCCAATGGCTATGTGTGTTATTTGTCACGAAGTTGATCCTCTTGGTCTGACAACTGCTGGTTTCACCAAATTTGTAAACATCTATAACCGTTTCAAAATTTTGGCCTTACTGTAATTAAGCTGACAGGCACTTATTATGATGATAGACCTAAAACAGTGAGTGACAAATTTTTTTTAAGTCTAATAGCTGAACTTGTCATGTTTCAATATATGGTATTTAATAAGCTAAGCTCAGTGGAACGGAAGAGATTTACTAGATTTTCAGCTTCACACTAATATTTAAAATATTAGTGAGCGAGAGAGTATGGTTTTACGCCGCTTTTAGCAACATCACGGCTCACACATTGTACCCATGTAGGGAATCGAACCCAGGTCTTCGGCGTGACGAGCAAACACTTTAACCACTAGGCTACCCGACCACCCCTTTAAAATATTAACACTAATTTACTCATGCACTTTTAGACCAGTATGTTATGACATTGTTAAGCTGTAAACATAGGTACACAACAACAGGCAGAGTGATACAGCATTTATGTTTTTGTAAAACTTTGCGACAGGGAATAGATATAGCAGTTTAGAGTGAGTGAATATTGTTTTATGCTACTTTTAGCAATATTCTAGACATATCATGTCAGAAATGGGCTTCACTCTTGAGTTTAAGTCAATGCAGACTTTGTGGCAGTGTGATCCATACCTAAAGCAGTGTCAAGTGTTCCAAAGTAGCATGGAAGTAAGTTGGGTTTAACGCCGCTTTGAATACTTTACAGTACTCCAGTTATATCATGGCGTGTCAGCTTAATGTGGAAGGAAAGCCTGAAGTGATGCAGGTCTCAGACATTTGCCACTTTCATGAAACCGAGAAACATGGGCATGGTGCTGACAAACCAACAGTGTTCTACAGTGTTACTAGTTCTGTAGTCCTTGCCAAACTACCAAACAGTTAAGGTATCATTAGGACTAGTAGAAATATGCCATATTTAAAGGGTTTGCTAAATGTTATCATTATAAGGACAAGTAAACCAAAACTGTTAGTTTCTACCTTTGAGTGAGTGAGTGAGTGAGTTGGGTTTAACGCCGCTTTTAACAGTATTCCAGTTATATCGCGGCGTGTCAGCTTAATGTGGGAGGAAAGCCCGAAGTGATGCAGGTCTCAGACATTTACCACTTCGGTGAAACCCACGAGCAAGGGCATGGTGCTGACAAACCTAGAAACATAATCGGGGCGAACCGGGATTCGAACCCACAATCATAGGTTTCTGGCGTGCCCAAGGGACGCAACTCTGCACAGCGAATCACAGCGCCTTAGACGACTGGGCCACCCGTGCCCCCCAGTAGCATAGAAAGGTTGGTACAGTACCCAGATACATCATGTTAGGTCTACCCGTACAACCACAAACCCAAATAACAAAAGGAGATATCATAATAAAACCTTACGTCTCCTCTCCCTTGAACGTGATCGTCGTCTCTCACGATCTGAAAAAAAGAAAAGTGGGATTAAACCTTCGAAAGAAAAGTTCTATATCCTAACAATGAACCTGATGAATTGGTCAAGCAAAATAGGAATAATAATTTTTACTAGCACCGAAAGTACTTCAAGTTAACAAGTGTTTCTAGTTTACAGTTTAAACTTTAGGGACCAATGGTGAACAGTTCACATAGAATACATAGTATGGTTGCTGAAGGTAGTAAGTTTCAAGAAACTATGTTTGTTGATTACGCCGCACTCAGCCAATATTCCAGCTATATGATGTCAGTCTGTAAATAATCGAGTCTGGACCAGACAATCCAGTGATTGACATCATGAGCATCAATAATTGTGATACAAAGATATGCATCAACCAAATCAGCCTGCCCACACGAATCCCATTAGTCGCCTCTTGCGACAAGCATCATCCCCTTTTACAGTAACTTGAGTAAGCATGGGTTGCCAAAGACATTGGTCGAGAAACTATGTCTAGTATTTGTGAAACACAGTTTAATCAGAGACTTCTGGGAACCCCGACGACCAGACAACCAATGTATGAATCTTTCTGTATAAGGATATATGTATCTTGACTACACTCTTGTGACCTTAGATATGGTCCCAGCTCTAGAAAGGTAATGGGGTTATCTTTAGTGAAGCCACTTTGACCAAGATGGCACCTCTGAAGAACAGGACCATGTAACTAATAATAATAACAAACTCGCTGACGATGCCGTATTTCGTTTTTAGGATTTATTCCATGACCATACTGATTTACGGTTCCCAGGAATGAAACTACAACTACAAGATTTGTTCTGCAAATTGTTTTACTTTGGTATTATTATATTGATCCATGATGTCACATGTACACCTCGAAACTTTTTTAAAAGGTGCAATATTAATGTTTCTAAATTATAATTCGTAAAATTTCGATCTCAAAGTATCTGAAAATGCAACAACGTGAAATGAAAACACTGCCTGTTGTCTGTCCCAAACGAAAACCGGACAGATCAAAATACAAACGTTTAATGAACGTCATGGTACAAAGAAACGACTTATATTGATACATATACACGCTGTTGTGTTGACAGATAACCTCTCACACATAATTTTCGTACAGAAAACGACAAAAAGGGGAGAAAAGACAATTATTCACCTCTTCTGGCAGGCGAACGAGATCGCTCTTTGGGCATTTTGCTTTCTTCTATGTTGCAGCGAACACTGCGCCCTCTTGCGGAGGGAAATGCCAGGTGTTTAAAAATAGATATTTTCGCCATGGCTAACGTAAGCCTCCGTGGCCTAATGGATAAGGCATCGGCCTCCTAAGCCGGACTGGTGACAATGCGTGATAGCCGGGGATTGCGGGTTCGAGTCCCGTCGGAGGTGCTTTTTGTTGGAATGCTCCATTTACTAATCTCTTATATTTTAACTTCGTATGTGTGATTTAAATATTAAATATAGGGTATATTGAAACGTAATGTATGCCAGTGATGATCTGATTCCTCTAAATAAATAATGAAAATCTTTTTGAAGAGTCCGCTAACCTTATGACCGGGTTTGACATGTGAGTATATATACTCAATATATATATGTACAAGGTCGGTCAACCACGTATAACAAATATATATCACGGACAGCTTTCACGCTTTGAATAAGCTTTAGGTTAGTCCATACCAAGTAAAAAATTTGCTTCTCGATATTCTTAGCCATCGTACGTGAGTATATTTCGCTCTTTCATTAATTCGTTCGTTCATACAAATCTTTGATAAAGATATAAACGACAAAATCCTTTCCATATTCATAAAAAGATACCTGCCAAAAGCAGAGTCGGTTGTACGATTCCTACTATAACCACCACCATTTTTGCGTCACTTTATCGAAATCATAATGATCTAACTTTTACTTATAAAAACTCAATATGATAATGGTATCGGATATAATTTGAATATGCGAAAGAGGCTATAAACTAGCGGGCAAAAGAAACGTCACCAAATATGTAATGGTCGTCAGTTTTCAACAAATTTGCCAAACAGCACGAAAACTGTTGGGAACACATAGCTGGAATGCAACTTACCTATTCCCTGTGAACATGTGCACGTGCTTCTCGTGATTTGCGAGAAAAGTGAATTTAATCAGTAAAAAATGCAAAATGTTCACAAAGTTACCCGTATGTAATTCTGGTATAAAACATTGCAGGATTCTACTCTCTCATCACATGAAACCGTTTAAAACAACGAACATGCCTCGACTAACCGCAGAGCAGAGGGAGAGAGTCATCAGTATGTTGCAAATGGGTGCGACGCAGGAGCACGTTGCCAGGACCATGAGCTGCTTCAAGTGCACCATCGCCAGACTTGTCACACGTCACAAGCAAACTGGCAGTACTGCAGACAGGCCGAGGAGTGGAAGACCAAAGGTCACGACCGGTATTTACGGGTGCTTCACCTGAGGTCCTGGGGCCCCGTTCCAAAAAGCGATGGTAGCGCTACGACTGTCGTCAGTCTATGTTAAAGTATGGGAGTTACGATCGTCTTTGTGTTTCGATGGCTTTGTGAACGGGGCGCAGATTCCTAACTGTGACGTCATCATCCGCAAACGGCCTTGGACATCTAGTCAGCAAAAGGACCGTGGCTTGACGAGCCCGCCTGTATGGTCTCCTGCCTATCGACCTTTCAAGGGCATGACGTTAACACGTCACAGACTGAGATGGACCAGGACTGTACAGCAGTGGCAGCAGGGAAATTGTCGAGGAGTGCTCTTCAGCGGCGAGAGTAGGTGCCAGCTCTTCAAGTCTGATGGGCGGGTTCGAATCTACCGACGGCGTGGTGAACGCACAGCACGTTGTTGCGTCCAAGAAGTGGAGTGAGTATGGTTTTACGCTGCTTTTAGCAATATTCCAGCAAAAACACGGCGGGGGACACCAGAAATGGGCTTCACACATTGTACACATGTCAGGAATCGAACCCGGGTCTTTGGCGTGAACGAGCGAACGCTTTAACCATTAGGCCACCCGACCGCCCCCCGACGTCGTGTTGGGGCCTGCATCGTTGCTAGAGGGGGTCACAACCGATACTGAGCCATGTGTGTAGCACGGGACTTTAAAAGAAATCGAGGTCGATTCTGCTGGTGTGATCGAATACTGGACAGTGCACCCAGTTTGGTAAACGTGTCTGCAGAACTTTAAGTACATGGTTTTTGATCTTGTCATTTTCAAATGCCGTTTTTGAATAATTGGTTTTTTTAAACATCAACTGTTACTACATTTTGCGTCTGTTTTGTTTTTTAGACCAGAAAATTGTTTGGTGGCGTTTCTTTTGCCCGTTAGTTTATATTGAGAGACGTTTTGGGCTGCTTGGGGAACATTGTGTAGAATACACGAAACTAACTCCACAAACATTGGAGGAGTACTATCAGAACCCCTTTGGTGTAACCATCAGTTTAAAAAACTGATTTCATTATAAAGAAATTGGTCTTTAAAGGGAATTTACACTATTAAAGATCTCTGTAATGAAGATGATATAATGCCCTTCAATGAACTTATAACGAAAATACCAAATTAAAGGCACAATTATTGACTATTACCAGGTTCTATTAGACATACCAAAATCCTGGAAAAATGCTATTAGAAATAATAATATTATCTTATATAATAAACATCAAATACAACTTTGATGGACTTACTTGTATCGCCAAAAGGCTCCAGATATATTTATGATAGGACTATAACTACAGCAAATCTCCCAAAAATGGCGTCTACCATTCTTGACTTAGATATATCATGGAAGGATGTTTTTATCAGATACAGAAAATGTACAAAAGATGTAAAATTACTTGATTTTCAATATAAATGTATTCATCGCATAATCTTTACAAAGAAAGAACTGTTTTAAATAAAAATTCTGGATGATGATCTGTGCTCATTTTGTGAAACTGATACTGAATCCTCACACTATGTACATTGGGATTGCAAGCATGTAAAAGAGTTTTTGGCCAAAGTAGAATGTTTTTTCAATGTAAAATGTTCAAAACAATTACATTTACCAAATGCTCTGTTTTACTTGGGTACAACTCTTACATTCTGTTAAATCACATCATACTGGCATGCAAAATATATATATACTGAACAACAAAAGTTCCTGTGACATTGAATAAGATTTAATGCAAAGTTATGTTTTTTACCAAATCTGAAACAATTTCGGTTTGCAACAGATAAAAGACTCCTGTAAGTGTTCAAATGGTTTAATTTGCCATACTGACTTCCAGAAAATGCGTGATTTAGAAAAAACACCATGAACATGCCAAAATGTCAATTTACAATTCAGTAGCGTGTGTGTCCACCTCTGGTTGCGATGCAAGCAACACATCTTCGTCTCATGGATTGGACCAGGCGTCGCACAAAGTCCTGTGGGATATCTGTTCATATCTGCTGGAGCATGTTTCGAAGATCCTGGAGTGTCTGTGGAACACTAAATTAAAATTAAACATTAAATCTTATTCAATGTCACAGGAACTTTTGTTGCTCAGTATATGATGTAAGTGTATCAGAAATGAATATAGTTAAGGCCCCTAGCAGTACTTGTTCTTTTCTTTTTTATATAGATGCCCAACACGCTACCTCGTTTGTGAACATGGGCCGGTGAACTACATACTTCATTAATGAATAAAAGTATTAATCATCATTTAATGCTTGGAGTTTTCCCAGAAGTAAAACCATCCACACCCGTGAAGATCTGTGTTAGAATCTTCAGCAACCCATGCTTGCCTAAAAGGCGACTATGCTTGTGGTAAGAGGCGACTAACGGGATCGGGTGGTCAAGCTCGCTAACTTTGTTGCTGCATGTCATCGTATCCCAATTGCGTGGATAGATGCTCATGATATCTATCACTGGCTTGTCTGGTCCATACTCGATTATTTACAGAACTCTGTCATATAGCTGGTATATTGCAGAGTGCGGCGTAATCAACAAACATAGTTTCTTGAAACTTACTACCTTCAGCAACCATACTATGTATTCTATGTGAACTGTTCACCATTGGTGAAAACAAACAAACCCGAATAGTGAGTGAGTATGGTTGGAGACCAGAAATGGGCTTCACACATTGTACCCATGTCGGGAATCGAACGCGGGTCTTCGTGACCAGCGAACGCTTAAACAACTAGCCTACCTGACCGCCCTCTTCACGAATAAAGAATATAATAGTGACCATTAACTTGTAATTGGGTAGATTATTCCCAGAGGTGAACACCTCCAGGCTTAACGCTCATTTGACGATACTTCTGTATGTGGCCATGCTGAAAAGCCCAACACTTGACTGTGATAGAACGCCAATTAGATAGGTATACAGGCAGGCCAAATTTCATTATAACATTGCTCGCCAAAATACTTTGTGGCCCCTATCGTATGATTTGTCTTTGTTAATAATCATGCTCGAATAAGTGAGTTTGGATTTACGCTGCTGTTAGCAATATCCCTGCAGTGTCACGGTGGGGGACACCAGACATGGGCTATATATCGCTTGACAACGAATTTATCTCTCCGATATTCCTTGGTTCCAGACCCGGAATATACGAGGGCTGGCTGAAAAGTTCTGAGCCTAAGTGGGATATCTCAATCGGATTGAAACAAACGTTTGCCACCAACAAGTACAAGTATTTAATGAATCATAGACACAAGAACTGCAACTGTAGTGTTATTATTGTCTTTGTACCAGACCATCTTGTGAACCTACCCATTGAAATCACCAGAAATGGACAAAACTGGCTTTAGGGCAGTCATCAAGTACCTGCAACTGAAAGGGCTAACTCCAACACAGATACATGCTGACATGGTCTCCACTCTAGGGGATGATGCCCCTTCCTTTTCCACAGTAAAGAAGTGGGCTGCGGAATTCAAGCGTGGCAGAGAGATCCTTGACGATGACCCGCGTCCAGGATGGCCTTCAACAGCAACCATTCCGGAAAACATTACCCGGGTGCATGACATGGTGATGGCTGATCGACGATTGACCACTCGACATATTGCCAGTGTTGTGGGCATCTCTCATGAGAGGGTTGAGCACATTATCACCAATGAGTTGGGAATGACAAAAGTTTCTGCAAGATGGGTGCCAAAGCTCTTGACAGCGGATCAGAAACGTGTCAGATTCCTGACGCCCCGTGACAATTTATGCCGTTTTGAAGCAGATCCCGATGATTTTTTGGCCCGATTTGTAACCATGGATGAGACCTGGAGTCATCACTTTCAAC